TAAAAAAAAACAATGAGGTATTACAGGAAAAAAAAAACTACTCCTACTACTAATCCTGCTGACATCCATTCTGACACAGTGAGGACTGAGTTTGTCAGCCGAGGACCTTCTTATACTTTCCAAAAGAGAGGACCTTCTAAATCTTTGCACATATTGTGAACAGGGTCTTTTGTTTACCCTTGTCATTTGATTTAATTATATTTACTTTATTTATTCATTTAATTTGTTGTGTGATGTATGTTTGTGTTTAAAGCAAATAAATCTAAGTTTACCACAGTAAACTAGTGGGGGGAAGGGGTTGCGCTTCAACTCACCTAGGGCACCAAAATGGCTTGAGCCAGCACTGAATGAAGAGACTAATGATAAATGTGCTTCAGACTGAGGTAGAGTCACTAGCTAAGTTTCCATAGCAAATGAGCGCTAAACTTTGTCAATATTCTGTTGTCGAAAAACACAGTTGCGCAATTGCGGTGTTTCCATTAAGCAAGAAATGCTATTAAAGTCACGCGTGAATATGTTTGTTCTCACGATAAGTCTTTACAAACATGGCAGCAATGGATGTAAACACATGCATATTGCTACCATGACACTAGCGCTCATCATCAGCCATTAGAAGAGACGTTGGCGTCCTATCGAGGCTTTCGGGCGACAAGCCCCTTATTGTGAGCGGCTACGTATGCAGCGTTTTTGGGAAATTGTAGTCGGTGAGTTTACTACTTTCTTTTATAACTTTGTGTATTTTACTACTACTTTTACTTCCTGTTGTCTTCTCCGTCGTCGTCTTTTTCACCAGTAGAAACAGCCGATTGTTGATCACGTGATTCCCGTGATGCAAAAAAAGTGTTTTCATTGCAGTTTTGTGAAATACACCAATTTCGATAGGGCCGAAAAACCACCTCATCCTAGCGCAAAAACATTTTGTCAAATAAAGGAAGGTTTTTCAAAATTGACGTGTTTCCATTGAGCTTCCATTTCTATTTCCGAAATTCTAATTTGCGCATTTTCATGGTCAATGGGAATGCAGCTAGTATCAGCTTGACTATACAAGGAAACACAGCACAAGTGATGCAATATCAACTCTTGTGCATCTTACTCTAAACCACCTTGAGAAGCCAAGTGCATATGTTGGAATGTTGTTTGCAGATTTTAGTTCTGCTTTTAACTCAATTCAACCACACATTCTCTCCAAGAAGTTAACACAGATGAATGTGAATCCTCTTTGAATCAGGTGATATCATTCTTTTCTTACAAACAGACCACAGCAAACTAAATTCAATTCTAAATTTTCAGATACAACAATAAACAGCATTGGTGGCCCCAGGGGTGCGTCAGTTCACCATTTTTGTTCTCCTTAAAGTGTACTAAGTATATTTGAAGTTGTTCCATTTTAGTATTTAAAAGTATACTTAATACACTTAAAATTGTGCTTTTGTACAACTTAAATACAGCTTAAGTATATTTAGTATTAAATTAGTTGTTCCAAAATAGCACTCTTTAAGTATACTGGTGATTGGTGCGGCTTCAAGTATACTAAAGTATACTTAGATTTAGTATACTTAGTATAATATTTTTTCACTTGGGTGTCTTCTTGAATGGGTGTTCTTAAATGTAATTTCATTGTGCTCTGTACAATGACAATAAAGGCATCATCAATCACCACCCTCCCCCAAAAGCTCTTATTTCTGTTGTGCATACAATTTTTGTAAAGTCATACAATTATGCATACATAGACAAAATATATAAACACCTCCTATTTTATATCTCAAAAGAACAACCTATTGTTTACATCACTTCTTGGTTACATCACTTCATGGTTATACTTAATATAATATATTTATTATTATTTATATACTTAATATAATGTCGCAAACCTCCTCTACTAGGTTCTGAAAAAAAGAAAATAAATGTACATTTTGAAGTGCTTCTGACATCACATTTTTGCAATAAAAATTTATGGATTATTTAAAAGATGACATTGATAACATATTGCAAAACAAAATCATTGCTGCTGACATGAACAGTTGAGATATTGTCATGTGAAGTAACAGGAAGTGACATCAAATAGGAATGTCTGCATGTGAACAGAGCGTTGCTACAACTAAAAGCAGACTGTAAAATATGTCAGGTGACAAAATGGGTAAAACGTGTTTTGTATCAATTTTGTTAAATATAAAGATGTTTTTTACTTTTGTATTGGAATGATATACATGTCACAGGCACTTTAAGCACACACATTCGCTTTAGTGTCCACATTCTTTCCTGGTGAACTCTCCAGTAGTCTTCTGCCGTTGGCTGAAACTGACAGTTTCCCAATCACAAGTGTGACGCTGTGGAAACCTTACACATACCAGGAACAACCTCTGACTCATTGTGTCAGTTTACAACTAATAACAGAGACCTGAAGATAATATTAACCAGAACCGTCCATTTCCACACTCTTAAACATTGTAAACAGTCATAAATATCACACACATAATTGCCACAAGGTTATCCAGCATCCTTTGCAGCTCACACTGTCTCTCTGGGATGCACCAATATTGTACTAAAATAAAATTGTCATTATACATTTGTATACATCTCAAACTTGTTTAAAATGAACAGATACAGACATACAGCAGACACTGCGGTGGTGTGCCATTTCTTCCGCTGTGCCAGAGCTCCAATGATTATTGATGATGAAGCACAGCATTGTGTACTTTGTTTAAAAAATGGCTAACCACAATATGGATTGCTAAATGAGTTATAAATTTTTTTCAAACAAAAAAAAAGCTAATTAATAAAATAATACCACTCTGCTTTTTCTACACACTACTATATATGTTCATCAATATAAATCTTTGGGGCCTTGGTCCTACAATTAAAAAACCTGAGCTTGTTTTTACATTTTTACATGCTATAGTGTTTTTTTAAAGCTATTTCAATATTTTATGCATCAATAAAAACCTTAAATTCCAAATTGTAATAATATATAGAATTCTACTGGTCTTTACAAATAGGTATTTAAATGGGCTCGCCGATGCTCCCCTAGGATTTAAAGAGTTAGCTTATGACGTCCCAATTCCACTCAGTAGAGCAACCAAAAAGCAAATGTTTCCAAGAAAGTAAATGGCCACCAGAAGACTGTCAATACGGACCTGTAAAATATAAAAAAGACAGACTTAACAAAATGGAATTGTGTAATTTAGTTTGCTTTTGCTTTTAGACAATATACTTTTTCTTACTCGTTTTGATTCCCGTGAAGAAGTAGCAGCATCTGTGATCAAAAATAAGGAAAAGGGTGAACTTGACTGCATCTCAGAAAACCTTTTCAAACATAAGTGTTCTTAAACATTGTAATAATACAAGTTTAAAAAAAGTTACTTGAAATGATAGAGATAATTATTAAAACCACTGCAGAAAATTAGAGATTGATGGCTGTTTTAGACACTTATTTAAAAAAAAAAACTGGTCAACTGTAGCAAACAGCTGGCCTCATGCAAGAACATTTTCATGTTTTTATCCTAAATTTCTCTTTGTATGAAGGGTTCGTACAAACATGCCATGGCAGATTCAGCAAATGCTTCTAACTTTAGGAAAAGTGTGTAAATGAGCAGGGTAAACATGATGAATGCCACCCGTACGTATTCAGGTGCTTGTGCTGAGGAGACAAAATTAGCATAATTACCGCCCCAAAACCACCATATAAGGCTACGCTTCCTGCCCCACATACCAGGAAGTGTTCATTCATGAGAATGGCAGCAAAAAAAAAGAAAGAACTTCAAGTTCAGAACTTTAAGACGTGGGGCCTCATGTATAAATGGTGCGTACCCATAAAAAATTTGTGTGTGCCAGGCTCTACGCCCACGTTGTGATGTATCTAAACAAACGTTGCGTTTTCACCTGCTGTGAGAATGTGCGGCAGCCACGCAAAGTTTTTCAGTTGACAGTTTTAACCCACAAAGTCATGAATCTGACCTGAATCCACAGAAATATGACTCTGTTCTGTTTTCTGGATGTAATGAGTGTCTGAACACGGTGTTAATTTTTTTTGTTCGAGCTTTTATAGTTTAAACTCGAACGATCATGAAACTGAACCCCGGAACTGAAAATCATTTAACCTCAGACAAGAAAACAGAGCAGCAGTAAGTTCTACCAAACTCATAAGTTCCTCTGTGTTTACAATCAATATGACCCCCGCACGCGAAGCGTAAGCGGGAGTCATATTGTTTTCATACTGTTTATTTATTTATTTATTTTACTTTTTCAGTGATTTTTGGTCAACCGTAGCACAGAAACGGCTGCACCAATCAACATGAAATTTTGAAAATTGGCAGAGCTGTAGATGAGTCTGACCTACACTGCGCCAGCCAACGGTTTTACGATAGACCCCATATTTGAGGAGGGGGCTCCTTTCAAAGTGGGGGTGTCAGGACATGCAAAAATGCTTATAACTCAGAAACTGTTCAACATAGGAGCTTCAGATTTCTTTTGTTGTTTAGCTCTGATGAAGCTCTATCCATCAGGCCCACCAATCAGTCCCCCCCCCCCTCCCCCCCCCAAAAGACCCCCCTACCAAACCACCACAATTTTGGGATGCACCTAGTAGCATGACATTTATTAGGAATAAAGACTTCTGAGTTCTGGTGCATTTGTYDGTGCAGGGGTCATTATGTTACCACTATGCGGTGTCTAATTTAGACAGTTTTCTCACTCATTCTCCATTTAATGTATAATTTTCCTGCATCTAAAAATCATTTCTGATCCCAGAGAGAGGAAATTCTAAGGAGAATCCCACACGCTGGACACATTTACATCTATTTTACAGATTTAAATGGAGGCATGTCAGGGGAGGTATCTCAGGTGTGCTCAGTTCCATGTTTGTTGGGATGTATAAAGAAAAGGTGTGCAGGAACATGCGTGCGCACAGTTTTATACACCTGATTTTTTTTTTTTTGCGCGGTGCACTTTTTCTAAATTTGTCCGTACGCCAACTTTTAGTGTGAAAGCTGCGCACTCCTTTATGCATGAGACCCCTGGTCTCAGAAATCCTGAAAAGTCAGCTGTGGAATTAAATAACCTGCTAAAGCCAAGGATTGGGAAGAAATAACAGCTACAGTTGGTGTTAATGCCAGGTCTCCTGTGGGTTGTTACAGTTAGTGACTGTACAACCCACAGGTGACATGAATAAAAATTAATTAACAAATTAAATTAAATAATCACTTTTCAACCAATAATCCAACTGTTCTGCTGCTAGAAATATGATATCCACTTTTCCCTGTCCTGCTTTGAGCTACCGGCACTGTTATCACAGCTGCTGTCAGTCTGCCTGCAATCCTCCCCCTCCCTTGGGAGTAATGATGTTTTGTAAAAATGACAGATTTTTGAAGGCCACAGGTAAACGTCTGAAGGGGTTGACGTGATTCTCTTAAATAAAGAAAAATTTTGATATGAACAAGGCTTTTAAAAAACATTTTGCCACTACAATTAATGCATAGTGGTTTCTAGTTTAAGATCTTCATATTAATATTGTAGTGTTAATAGTATTAATAGCCAATTTAAATTATACTGTTAGGCTATATTAATAAATTTTAAATTATAATTTCAATTCAAACAGAATAGCCTATTGTCAACATAATTATGTAGTGATTTATTGTTTATATTTATTATTTTCAACTCAAAATATCGTCAAACTAATGAAATATGAAGTTGTTAGTGAAGAAAATCTATCTGAATAACAGCAGACTGACTGCACTGGACTGATTTCCAATCTTTTCTAGAGGTACCATCCTTTTTGTCAAGGTCTTTTCTGATGAACCAAAAATAAAAAGCAGTGTAATTA